TACTATATATATATATATATATATATAGTGTGTGTGTGTGTGTGTGTGTGTGTGTATATGTATATATATATATATATATGTATAAAGAAATATAAGTCCGAGACTATCGGCAAGGCTTCTTCCGCTTTCAGTCGGGATATTATTGGTATATACGAATATATCTAGAACTTTATGTGTCTTCATTGCAATATTCGTGTGGTGGTGTGTTTTTGTGTATGAATTTGCGGGCAACCAGAAACCTCAGGACCCTGCTGAGGCCCTAGATAGAAACCCTAGATAAAGCATGCGGTGATTGTAACCATATCTCGCACGTTTACGGCTGTACATATAAGTTAATAACGATACGTATGTGAGCGCTTACCATTTGTAGAATGTAAACGTATCGAGGAGTAGTCTGTGGGCTATTTGGCATGGCATGTGATTACGTGGGCGTATACAATCCCCATTCCGTAAACGCGTGCGTAGCCGATAAGACTGTTTGGCGTCAGTGGCTTGTGAATAAGCTACCGTCGCGACTGTTTAAGTTTTCTCGCCGTTTAAACGTTTATTCCGTGCTGTTCCAGCAGATCACATGTTCAACGTTTTCTTCTCAGATCACATACTCAAACGTTTTCTCCACTCTCATCGCTCGCCAACACCACACCACACCACACCTCAGTATCATCGACAAGATGAAAGACAACGACGACAAAGAGGAACGCAAGATCATCCTCGAGTCACTGCTGGATGTGCTGAGGCAGCACCACCAAGCCATGAGCACCACCCACTCTCACAACCAGGCCACTCACCATCCGTCCGACCTCGCACAGCCGGTGTTGGAGCTACTTGTGGAGTGGAGCAGAGACAAGCGCACCAAGCTGTCGCAGGTAACGATGGTGTGAGTCGATGTAAGTGGGGGTTTGTGTGTGTGTGTGTGGATGCGTATGGGAATAATCTTCTTACGTGTCTGCAAGACAGTCTTGGTCACACCCCGGCCACTCAGTAGTCATCAGACTTCGCACATCCCGTGGTGGAGCTACTCGTTGAGTGAAGCAAGCACAAGCGAACTCAACTCTCTGAGGTAGTAGTGTTCGTCATGGGAGGTTGTGACTATGGAATGTCTGAGTAAGCGTGTGTTCTAAGTATTGTACATCTCCTTAAATGTAGACAAATATCAACATACACTCCCCCCCCCCGCCCCACACACACATATATATATATGCACACACTCCTTCCTCGCCCATCTGACTTAGCTGAGAATCGAGCCAATTCTCCAAAGGCAGACTAAAAGTCGGAGACCTGCGGCAGATTGAACCCAACCGTTCAGCAAACAATGGCCTTCCCCCCCCCCCCCCCAATGCGGCACTACACACAACTAATATGCATGTGCATGGTATTGCCCAGGTGCATATGTGTATAGGGCAGCGATCTCTCTGCACGCGTTTGGTTTGACCCACAGCTGTATCACTCTACTGTAGTCTTATTGTGCAAATAGCACCCCACGGGTGCACACAGCTGTTCTATGGCCTTTGCAATTGATATCTACAACAGAATGACCGTCCTCAGCAGCACTGGCTATCTCATCTGTACACACACGACACCTTTCAATTGCATAGCTCTCACCACCAGATGTAGGTCTTATTAGTGGATACCACATTTTCTGTATAAGCCCCGCATTGCGAATATGTATACTAATGTTCCTCATGATACCCATCCAATCCATCGTATATCTATCTATATATATATATATATATATATTCATATGGTCCCATCCATACCTCGATGGAAATGTTGCATCGCCCACTTCCGCTACCATATACACCCTCTTTACCTCTACGGCCTTTCTGCAGGATGTCTTCCAAGTACTGGGTGACTTCTGTCAACAGGAGTTGGGGCATGTCCCGCGTGATGTGCAGATCACAGTGCTTGTGGCCGTGTTCAATAGGTACGTACCTATATGGCTGTCAGTATTCTTATCTGTGTGTGTATATGCGTGCGTTTTTGACAGCCTAGTGTATGCGTTCGCACGTATATTGCACGAGTACAGCCATCCCTTCTTGTATGTTTACGTATGAATACGGTATGCATACGTATGCGTGTTCGTGTGCCGTGTGTAAAAATGCGTATGCGTGTCCATTTGTGCAAGTATATCTATATTATATATATATGTGTGTGGGGGGGGGGGGTGGGGTGTGTGTGTATATATATATATATATATGCATAGTGCCAGTCAATATACATATAGTCACTTATATCCCTAAATCCAACGCACAGGCTTGGGGTCGAGACCTTTGATGTAGTCAAAACGTATGTGAAGGCAGCCGTTAAGCAAATGTGTGCGGCTTTGTCACAGAATGCGCTCCTGGGGGTCTGTCTGGCGTTGCTAGGCAACGAACATCTCAGCCAGGCCGGAAGGGTATGCGAATGTCGAAGGTTTTAGGGTTTTTATTTAGGTCGTTCGGGTTTAGGGTTGTTTGATTCGTGTACACTCATATCGCTGTGATTTCATTGGTTTTCACTATCATCGCTTCGATTTCATTCGCCCTCAGCCCCTTGTCCTGGATCTGGTCGCCATGAGTGTACTGCCGACCATGGACAAATCATTTTCGCTGTGTGCACGCGAGCCAATGATTGACGGTGTGTGTTGTGCTGTGACCTTATTTAGTAACTAACTTAACATTCACAGTACATTACGTGTCCATGATTATTGATGTGTATCTTCTACTGTAGCCTTATTTAGTAACTTAACATTCATAGTTCATTACGTGTCCATGATTATTGGTGTGTATCCTCTACTGTGGCCTTATTTAGTAACTTAACATTCACAGTACATTACGTGTCCATGATTATTGATGTGTATCTTCTACTGTGGCCTTATTTAGTAACTTAACATTCATAGTACATTACGTGTCCATGATTATTGGTGTGTATCCT